AGTGGATGACAGAGGTAATAATTGATTGTGTCTGTACACAATTCTCTGCTAGAAATTTTCTCTTCAACCCTGATGTTATTAAACAAATTACTGTCATGACGTGTTCTGCCTATGTAACATTAATGTAGAATTTTCTGCCTATGTAACATTAATGTAAAATAAATTATGTAAAAATCTACCCCCATAGCCAGTGGGCTATGTATAAATGAAAAGACTTATGTGAGCTACTAATTTAATTGAATTTATGAAAATAGTGAATCAGCAAGCCACTGCTATTTTGCTTTCCTAGGTTTAGTGGCAAGTTTCAGATTTTACCCATTTGGGAAAGAAAGGTATTTCAGTGTCTGGAACTGCTCATCCGACTACTGAAATTAACTGCAACAATCAGTCACTGTGAGTACTTTTTATCTATGTCACTCTCTGAAAGTAGTGAAAATAAAAGTGCAGAGAGGCAAAGGTTCTACAGTAAATTTTGACAGACAGGTACCAGGAAATAACTTGCTTTTTTTCCCTCCTGTTAGCTATTAGAAGGTTGCAGCCTTTGATGTGTTGGTAAGAGTGACCTTGATGTGCACATCCTTTGAGAAGGTTGTACCAGTTCTTCACTTGTTGTCACTTTGGGCCTGGTAAAGCTGGTGGAAATCTTTCCAGGGATTTCTGTGGGCTTTAAAATTAGGTGTAAGCTAAACATTTACATGTTGTAAGAGTTTAGCATGCGCTTTCTTCTGGCAAAGCAATACAAATGCTCACAGAGAGAAGAAACTGCTTTTAAAATTGTATTAAAAATATTACAGTGAGTTTGATTGAGAATTAGGTTTAAGAATAAAAAGTTGGCATGGTGTCTTGCTAGAGTACTGTACCCAACTAGCACTGGCACCCATGCATGTGCCTTGCTGGACTTGCAGAGGACTGTGGTGTGCCAGTCTTTTGACCAATGTGTCCCAGTCAAGATGGTGCAAAACCCAGGTGGAGCATTGGGGAGGGCAGAACTTGAAATGTTTGTGTTACATGGAGCTGTTTGGTTTGGCCCTCAGAAGAGTGGAGCATGAGTTCGAAGCAAATGCTCCTAACCCAGGTTATGAAAAGGTGTGCAATAGTCATGGCTTTTCTCACTTGTCTTTTAGAACAGCCTGGAAGGTGGGGATGCCCCTCTCATAACAGGTAGCAGCAGCAGCCTTCAATCCTCTTGCCTGAGGATGAAAATCAAATCTCTCAGCACAAATATCTGAAACTCGCTTTAGGCTACTATTTAAAAACCGTCTAGTTCCCTGGAAAAGAGCCAGGACTGCAGAGTTCTTCAGCAGATGTTGGTGCCCATCTGTCCTCCAGGGAAAATGCTTGTCTTCAAATCAGAAGTGGCTGTAGCTGCTCGACAGCCCTGGCCCTGGCAGCATTCAGCACGGGTGGCCATCAGAGACTCACCTGCATCACATATTGCCCAGCTGAGAGTAAAGGGCCTTGCAATCTGGGCCCTTGATGGGATTGCCCCCATGTTCACCATGCCTGTGTATCTGTTTGGGGGACCACACTCTGCTACTGAGGATGACAAGGCAAGGGGGCGGGTTTGCAAAAAGTGTTGTTTTGACCCAGTCTGAAAGGCTTGGACATAAAGATTTTTATCAAGAGTCTCATCCCTCCCTCCTCTCTTTCAGAGTACTAAGCAGTCTCTGCCCCTGTGCCCAACATCTGCTGGCTGAAGCTGGAAGTGCCTGACACTGACCTGTGACTTCCCTTTGCTGCTCGCTCCCACTTTTCTAGGATAAAGCTTCATGTGCATCACATTGCTGCTATTAAATGTTCATTTCATTAACTTGTTGGTAATATTTGATGATCTTGGTGCATAAAATCTCTTGGGTCCATTCCACTGATAGTAATTTTGGATGTACATCTGCCTTCCTGAACAAACTCCAAACATTTTTAAGCCCTTTGTTTGTTTCCCCCCTCTGCTTTGGATTGCTGTCTCCATCTCTCCTGCTCCTCCCCATGATGCAAACAACAACATTAAACTCCTCTCTTTCTGGCTACTGTCAGGAGAGGATGAGTAACAGTGATGGAGGAACTGAGGAAGTCTCCTTTACAGTGCATTGGCTTGTACAGTCTGTGCTGTGCCAAGATACAAAAATTTAAGTCAGCATTTCTGATTTGAATTGTAAGTCTCCCTGGCAAGATGCTTCTACAGGCTCATGCAACTCAGGAAACAATTATTCCTGAGCCTTTACATGCACTGCACGCTGGGATTCCCAGCAATGCACAAGTAAATCAATGTTTCACTTTTCGTTTCTTGGCTGTGGTCTATGCAACCTGTGGCCAAGATCATATTTTTTACAGCATATTCCTAACCAGTGGCACCAGCCTTGAGGTTTTCAGGGTTTTTTGTAAGTGTAGATAAACTCTCTGCAAGTGGTGGCAGCTGAGCTCTTGCAGCCATAACAAGGGGTGAACTGGGTGTTCTTTTCAAAAATACCTTTCCCCTTGGCTGGCTGTTGTAGAGTAGGTTGTGGTCATCAACCTGGTGCAGAGGGAGGGGGCAGTGAATGACTTAAGAGCTGAAAGTAAGCTATCTGATTAATATTTAAAATACACAAATGGCAAGGATTTGTTTGCTGTGTGAAGCTAGGCATCAATCTATGGAATCAACTTCTGAGTTTAAACATACTGCACTATGACCAGCGTTTCTCCACAATACAGTAGGATTTATTAATAGAAAATACGTCAATATGAGTTTGTCTTTGTACATGTTAGCAACATGTACAGTGAAACACATTTTTTTTTCAATCTATATTGTTATAAGTCTTTTGTGTTATCTGACATAACCATTTATATTTTGGGCTTAAATATGTTATTTGTCAAAATGTACTTTCAGTGTTAATATACCTTTAAAATCATAGTTTATCTTTTAAATATTGAATTCTTTTTTTTCCCTCAAATCAATATTGCTCATGTTAGTGCAAATTTGTTAATCTTGAGATAGGTTAACCATTCCTTCCAGACCATAAACAGCATTTAATAAAACAGTGAGATTTATATAGCTCTACACAGCTGAACAAGATTCTAATACGAAGCTTGTTAAAAAAAAAATCCAACATTTTACAGTACATCAATTGCATTTTATACATTTTTTGGGAACAGTTTTGTTTCTTCTCTATTTCTGTGTGTGATCTAGTACAAGAATGAAGGGAACAGCAATAGATAATGATACTTTCCTCAATATTAAAAAGAATGCATCATATATATCTTGCTCAGTATGGCGGTAGTGTTGGATTTCCAAGCCTGGAAAAGAAGCCAGGTAATTCAACACCTTCTCAAAACTCAGTACAGCAAGAGTGAATGTTATCAGTCTGAGCACTTGCCACTACAGAAGAATGGAAACAAACCAACACAAAGTATAGACAAAAGGTATTTTATGTCATGTCATCGATCCAGAATCTCTCACTTGAGCAATGGTCAACATTTGACTCCAAGTAATTCCTAAGAGGAGCTGAAAGAGGGCAATGTGGGCATTTCAGTAATTTGAAGAATGGATATATATTCAACTTACAATAACCTCCTGTCCTAAGAACTTCAAACATAACAATGCATCCCCTTAGCCTGTTGGCAAACCTGTGTCTGGAGAACTGTACCAGCCTGGTGTTTATCAGGCAGTCAAGAAGAACTTCCAGTTGCGAGTGACATTTTTATTAAAAAAAAGTTTTTATACTGAAAATGTGCTTTGTTCAAAAGAGCACTGCAAATGTCACTTATTAAAATCAATGTAATAAATAAAATATAAACAACCTGTGTCCAAAACTATGAATAATATTTTTATCTACCTCACTATACATCTGGCCCACTGTGCCCCTCCCACCCACCCTTTCTTAAATTTTTTAAAAATTTTTTTGCATGCGATTTTTTTCCCTCTGTTTACTACAAAGAGCAAAGGTTACATATCGTACACTGGGAAAAGCTGCCAAAAAGATTAAACTATAGTCCTAGATTACTGATAAATCATTTCTACATCACAATACCTGCCTGCATGAACTACTCGGGCCGCATCCTATAGAGTGAGAGACTTCTCCCCCTGTGCACAGCCAGAAGTGTGCCAGGTGATGTTAAGACTATTACAATGACTAATCACAGAAATGTTTGCAACCTAAAACAAATTCCTTATTTGTAATTTAAGCAATTTAAAACTACTCCATTTGTGGTGGGTCTTATACTCTGAAAACTGTATGCTGAACTGTTACCTGAATCACACAAATTAGAAAATGCTTGATTCTTTTCTTTCCTTCCAAAATTACAAGAGCTAAAATGAATATGCCAGTTCTTCTGGCCTCCTAGCCTAGATAACTTTTCTTTTCTTTTTAAATTAAAAAAAAAATCTGTCCCTTACATTTTTTAGAATTTTACTTTAAATGCACAGATATGGTCTTTATTTCAGTATTTGAGGAATGTGTTCTGAGTATTGGATTTTCTTTTTGGTATGGGTTAAAATAAATGATTGTCCTAATGGTTCAGGAATTGGACCCTTTTGTAGTCTAAAGAGTTTGAGAAGTCCAGACTTGCGTCTGTTGGGTCTCTGTTTTCCATTCCCTCAGGGAGATGGCAAGATCAAACTCTGCCTTCCTTGAGCACTTACTGGTTGGTGGCTGGAGAGTAATGAAATTTCCTCAAGAAATGCTATTTTAATGAAAATGGCACCTAGGGGTGATGAAGTTGGAGAAAAAAAATTGGTTACTCCATCTTTTGTGAGCATGTGGTCTAACAGTGTTGAATTTCTATCAATGGTTACAAAAGCGAGTAAGGGAAAGCACATACTGGAGTTTCCACTGTTTAAAAGAACTGAAAATCAAACAAAAATTGAAGCTTAACAAGGAGAACATCAGATGGAAAGAAGTCTTACGCCACGCAAACACACACTCAAGTACACGCACACAGAATACTATGCATACATGGACACACACAAGTAAGAATGTGTATTTGTATGGTAGGTTCTTGGAAATAGACATTCTTAGCAAATATGGATGACAGATCAATTGTAATTTATTTTCTTTTAACACTGTATCATCATAAAGAAAACTGGTATAAATGAAAAAAATCTATTTCAAATATCTACATCTAAAATTTTAGGCAGTGAAAAAGCACTTCGTTGACAAGGAGTGTGGAATGATGAATGTTAGTTGTCAGAAATTGCTGAATGCCTTTTTTTTTTAGTTGCCACAAACAAATTCACATATCAGAACAAACAATACTGCTAAATATTCCTTTTTGTTTTTTTTTTTTCATTTTTTTTGATTTTTTTTTTTGTTAAAACGCACCGGGGAAAAGAAAACAAAAAACTGGAAATTCATACATCTTTCAAAATTTGAAATTGAAGCAATATTTAGAACCATAGATGAAGAAACACTGTGGCATTGGTGTAATATACACAATGCACCTTTTTTTTTATCTGTAATGTACATCAAATACTTTACAACAATGCATTAACAAAAGGCAAGAAATATCTTGCTGTACAGAGGAAACCCCAAATGCAACTTGAAGCCTAGATTCACAATGAATGAGGATATTAAACAAAGTGTGAGAAGCTGTTCCCCATACAGTATGTATGCTGCTCAGTAACTTGTGCTTAACTCTTGACCCACATCCACTGTCATGTTCTTCCTCCTTCCTTCAGACACATTCAATATACAGGACTGAACTTTAGACTCTACAGGCCAACAGTAAAGTTGCCCCACACTGTAAAATATATATATGTATATATATATTTCTTTCTAATTACTCCCAGGTTTAGCCTTCATATCTTTTAGCCTTCTAAAAAAAATCTCTTAATTTTTTCCATACTGGTTATCTGTGCCTTCCTATGGAACAGGCTTTAACAAACTAAATTTGCAGGAAAAAAAAATGTCTTGTGGTATGCATGCACATGCACAGTTCCTGGAGCTTTTGTATCTGCCTAAGTCTCAAACCCAGGAGTCGGGAGAGGCTGGATAGTGGCTTGTTTCATAGTTAAGTTCACTATAGGGACGAGCAGCTGAATAGAAGTCGACGTAGTTGCCAGTTGACTTTAGTCCCAGGTGCATGTTGTATTCACTTGCAGGTGGACGATGATGCACTTGGTCCTCAAAGAAGGACTCATCATAGTTTCTTGTTGAATTCTGAAATGGTTGATATGGTTCATAATCTTTTCTGCTGGGCTCCTGTGGAACTGGCTGTGTTGAAACCTGAAAGATAGCAACACCCACAGCTTGTTAGATACAACTTATTGTGGGCAACAGGATGGAAGGAGTAAATCTTACATATGTTCATTGTGCTTGAAATACAAAGTTGTGCATTATGTTAACATCTGCTCAAGGTATTGCTTAGTAGTGAATTAATTCCACAGCTCTGCCTTGTCATTTTATTTCTTTATGTGCAATAGTATTATTATTATTATTCAAATATATTTATTATTTAATATTATTGCTGCTAAAGATGCTGCTTTATGTCAAAAGTAGTTTATGCAGCATAGCTTATAGTTACTTTCATAGCTACAATCTGTGTGTAACTGGGAGCTATATAATGCAAATATTGGTAACCAAAACTCAGCCTTGAAGAATTTGAATGGAAGCAACATACACGTCAAAGACACTAAACATTTTGCAGCTGTCTTTGACAGAAGTGAGATTTAGGGGGCAGGCGACACTGTATCCTTAAGAACCATTTACAGTCTTCAGGACAGTCACATGAGAAAATGTCAAGCAAAGTGCCCTGAAATGGGTTCTTGTGTTACTGTTAAGCAGAACCATCTTCTTACCACCTCCTCAACACTTCAAGTTGACAATCTTGTGTTGTTGTACATTCCAACTAGTTGCCTTGAAACTGAAACGTTTATGATAAGCAGGAAAAAAAATCTCAGATGGTTCCCTAACCTAAGGTTGCCATAAAACTTTTTTCATATAGCCCTAGTGAATCTCTGTTTTTATAGTTGGGACTTTATTAAAATTTGAAATGTATAAACACATTGCTGACTATCTCAGGAGACTATCTTTCACTTTACGCCACCTCTATAAGTTTGGGTAGACTTTGTGATTGCAAAATAATGTAGCCTGTCAATCTTCATAAAGTCATCACTGCAAATATTGATTCTCAGACACCGATGTCAGAAGACTTTGAGGATCCTGCTGACTTTGCAAGAGTTAGTAATGTTCCAAGATGACAGGAGCAGTTGCACTGCCTAAACTCTGCAATATTTGTTCAAAACATGCCTATATTGGACTCTATGCACACAGTAAAAAAGATTGCTTAAATTCACTACCTTTCACAGTCCCACAAATGATCTTACAAATTTGGGTCCAATATTAGAACTGCACAAGTGAGCATAACTACTCTACTTTCTATTTCTAGTATCGCTATCAAGGTGTACAGGACTTTCAGGACCTCCATTTCATTTCATGTATTCAAACACAGGTGTTTAATTTGAGCATAAGAGAAAAAATCTACAGGAAGAAGTCTGATTGTATGTGATTTTTTTAATTTGTGATATTTTTCTTCATTTTCATATAAGATGTTGCACTGGTCTTTTGCCATCTGGAACAGTAACATTTTAGTCTCTGTACTTACCTGGTTATGTTTGATATCTTCAGCAGGTGCACCATACGAATTCCTGTACAAAGTTGAGATTCCAGTGTTCTGAGCTGGAGAGAGAAAAAAGGAAGGAAAAATCAGGTTTACCAAACATACTTCTTTGGCCTCAAAGGGAATTCTTAAGGTTTCATTAAATACATCATACAATGTTGGTTTCCCACACACCAAAGTCTTTAAAAGCATCTGCAGACTTTTTTCCTCTCACTAAACAGTCATCATCTTTGCTTTGGTGTACATACATGTCCTTGGTATACATTTATTAATGCTGACAGGCTCTGTCACGTTCACATCAATCTTGTGTGCTTCATATATATAAATCAACAAAATAATTTCATATACAGCTATCATTCAATAATATATTTCAGGTTAGAGATGGGATTGTATATCACACATATGCTAAACAGGTAGCACTTGTAAATATTGAGATTGAGAAACATTTCAGTTCTTTCACTTCAGTTGGATGATGTGGATTAGTAATTATTAATTAATATAGTAGTGATTTTGCTACTTCATGAAATTATTCATGCAAAAAGTGGTTAAATGCAAGTGAGAAAGGAGTTATGCAAAAAAGTAATATGTAGTTATACTGAAGAGGTCTTGCTAAGGGGGTCTGAAATCCATGACTACTGTCACTGTTGTCACTTTCTTCTCAGATGTCCTACTACTAAAATGCACAGACAAAACTGAGATCTGAGTTTGAAATCTGAAGTAATTCTAAAGACAACGAGGATATAAAGATTTAGTTTTGCAAAAATTTATTTCCCACTTTGTCCCAAAAAATCCCTTACAAAAAGCTTAGAATTTTCCTTGCAAAGCTGACTTCACTGATCACTGTGATTTGGCTATCTAGCTGAAGCTTACTTTGTTGGTAGGACTCAAAAGATTGTAGCTATTTCTCATATTTAAAAGACCATGAAGGCAGCCTTTTGTGTGGCTGCTGCATGCTATTAATGCATTATTAACTTTCCAGACATGACCAATGATTGGATGCTGTCATGAGGACTCTTACTACAAAAGCACAGACCTGAAAGTAAAAATTGAGTAGTTGTCAATCAGAGTCATCAGTGGAACTGAAACATGTTGATTGTGACCTCTCTTATGTCCTTGCAATGGTATAAAACCTGGAGGCACCTCTGAGGGCTAGGACTGAACATCAGAGCTGAAAGCTGGGTATGGGATCCATGCTAGTCACATCACTAAGAAGAACCACAGTTACCGAAGGTGTAAACAGTCTTTCTTCCTTTGGCAACATGCTAGCATGGACCCCTGCACGTAAAACTGCCTCTACCTTTCCCCTCACCACTGCACCCTTTCTGGAGAAAGGAATGGCATGGCCTTCACTCAAAGTTGACTGGAACATGCCAATTCTGATCTTCACATCAGGGATGGATTCCTTGTTGAAGGTATAATGTTTGTCAGCACTGTTCCATGTTGCTTCTTTTCAGATCTCAGACGATGTTGTTAAAGATCTCCAGCATGTTTGTGAAAACAGGATAAAGACTGGGCTTATATGGTGGAGTGATAAGATCTAACAGCTAGAAAAAGAGATTTTTCACTTCATAACCATTAACTGATGGGGTGAAAAAAACTCGTGTCTTGAAGAGCTGGATGCAATTAGTAAAAAAAGTGCATAGTCTTATGTAAGAAATAGGGAAGAGCTCTGGAGGCCATTGGTATTAGGAGTTCACATCAGCATTGCTCTTTCTGGTGCATCTCATGACAGCATTACTATCAGAAATATAACTGACAGATCTTTCCTTGATATCATCTTTTTTATGCCTTTTTTTTCCTGATTTTCTTGCTTGCCCCATAAGTGCTAGAAGAACTTGGGTTACACGAATTCCTCTTATCATGATCTAAAGATACCCAGTGTTTCAGCTATCCATTTTGTGAAGTCCTAGATCTTGAAAAAAAGATGAAAGCGACTTTCAGTGTGTTGGACTGCCATAGATGGAGGAAGAACTTCTTGTAACCACCTTGTTTTCATGTATACAAATTGCAAGATAAGCAGGTTTGATGTTTCATGCATGCAAATTTCTAGTCAGACAGGGCAACATTGTGCATGGTTGTTTGATGTCAAAAGACTGGTATAAGGTGCAACATCTGAGGGTTTTATGAAGAATCTGATGAAAAATAGCAAACTGGACACATGCTAGTTTGTACGTTGTTTCTGCAGGCAATCAGAGAGACCTTAAGAGGAGGGTCACGACCCTTCCATACAGATATATAAAAAGGCATATGGTACATATGTGCTGCTAACAGCCATGACTATCATAAACCCAGAAATAGTTCACAGTTGGTGCACAGCTGTCCAATGCACTCTTGTGACATTTGCACTGATATGGTCACAAATGTTATAAGCCGGATGGAAGATTTATGGTCTCCCAGATCCCATATTCTGCGATGGAAAATGGATAATATCAGCTTATGAAAATAGCTGCAAGCTCTGCATTGCTGATTTCATTGCAGTGATGTGGATGAAAATTCAAACAACCTACTATTCTTTTCTTAATGTAATAAAAACAATGAGACATAAAGTGCTTGAAAATAAATGCCAAGAGTTCAAGAATAAGAAATCTTGGCTTAGGCTATCTTAGAGGTTGAGATAATTCTGTTTCTGGAGGAAATGTAAATGAAGCAATGTAGCTGCTAGCAGTGCATGCAGCCCTGCTCCAGTACCCGCTTCTGAACATGCAGGTGGCATCCCTGGGAACTCCATTTCTGCTCTGCCATGCTTCAGTGAGCAGTTGACTTTTGCTGTCCAAAAGCAGAGAGTAGATATAAAAGAAAGAAGAGAATGAGCTAGATGAATGGACAGATATTGTGTGGTTAGTATCTGATTTGCCCTGTTAATATTGTGTATGTAAAACAGACAGAACGAGAGGCTAATGAAATAATTTTCTTTTTTAAAGCACGGTAAGAGAAGGGGAAGGAGTAAAAGGAGTAAGAAATGGAGATTTTCTTGCAGCCACACTTCTTTGCAGAGATGTGAGAACTGTAGCTGCAGATGAAATTAATTAAGCAGTGATCAGTGTGAATGTTTATGTATACATTTTATGCATTATTTAAATATCCATACATGATAGTACTGAAGACATATCTTTTACTAGGTAAAATTGTGAGAGTTCTGAAATGAGTACTGTTATCAACCTGCAGTGCTTTGTGGTTGCATTGCATAATGAACAATACAGAAAAATACCTTTCTTTCTTCCCCTGGGCAGTTTTCAAAGTGATACATGTTAAAAAAAAGTCATATAGTTCCTCACAGGAGTCTTCTTTAAAGCTGACAACAGCTTTGAAAATGACGTTACTCGGTGGTTTATGTGATAAAAATGTCACTGACCAAAGTTATCCTCATATGTCCCAGTCACTTGATTCATGATGTAACATTCAGCTTTCAAATGTTGTATTTATTCTAAACACATTTACAGACACTTTGAAATAACAAGATACTAGCCTTTTGCCCTCAGAAACACAAACTGATAACAAGAAAGGAGAGGTCAGCTGGCTACGTAGTCATCCTCCTCTGGTATTTCATAACCTGCTTTTTCTGCTATATGCAGCAGGTGTCCATTTTATAAAATTAATTTCAGGACAGTAAAGGAAAATGCTTCTGCGCCTCACAAATCTTAGGTAACAGAGATCCTCGCCTGTCACTATCACTGGCACCTTCCCACACAGTGACAAACGAGGTAAGGTCATGAGAAAGGTTACAGGGTATTCTGGTTTCTTAAAGCAATAATAAGTTCAAGTAGCCTGAGCACCTATAGCTATTGTAACACTTGATGGTTCTGAATGTGTTCTGAATGTGCAGGGAACACTTGTGTTCTGAGTGTGCAGGGACCTGCCAGTAAGTTTAAATAATAAAAGTAATGATGATTGATTCTTTACAGCCAAAAGAAAAATAAACTAATCAGAAGGTTTTTCTGCAGCTGGAAGTGAAGATGCAGCGTGTAGACTATGATGCACATATTAGTTCAGTGAGGGAACTAAGAAAGTAAAAGAAACTTCAAAGGAGTCCCATGACAGTATACAGGAACCTTATCTTCCCTGTTCTGAAGGAAAACATCATGGTATAGATGATATTATCACATACACATTTAGTTCCCATTTTTTAATGGAATATAACAGTTTTTGTCTTAAAAATATACTTTAGGTGACAAAATTTTATTATTGCTTATTATTATCTACAGAGAGGAGAAAATGTACAGTAAATATAAAAGGCCTCATAAACCCGTGAAGAGAGCAATGAGAACTTTGATATTGTGCCTCTAGTTTTTTAGCTAACCCTGTGAAATCAATATAAGTTATCATCTTCAGCCAAACTGTGTACTTCATAGTTTCTTCATTTTTCCCAGAGGTTTCCTGACAACTCCCCACAACGGCAGGAAGCCAACATTTCTACTTTGAAAATCCATCAAAAAACCTTCATTTCAGTCCCAGTCAAGAGGTCATTAAATTTTTGAACTATAAACTGAGAAGAGCTTTGGAGAAGAGCATGGAGACAGTCATGGATAAATTGGAACTACAGCTGTGGCTCTACATTCTGTATAAATCCATAAGTCAAAGAAAGCTCTATGTAATACATCAGCTTAGCAAAAAAATAGAAGAGCAGATCAAAATAAGTATATGCCAGGTGAAACCTGAAAAAACATTCATCTAAGTCCCATCTAAGTGGATGTATCAGTTGCAATGCACTGTCTGATGCACAAAAGGAAACACAGACATTGCAATGAACTTGCTACATGAACTTATATGAGGCCATTCAGTAAAGTAAAAATCTCACAAAAATCACAAACACTGATTTTAGATTTTTCTTTAATCAAATATTTATTATTTAATGAGCTACAATTAAGTTACACAAATGTCATGTTGAATGTTGATGAGCAAGACTCCTTCTGTGATTTTCTTGTGTTCTTAAAATGGTGCTTAATTTGAGCTTAGACCAAATGAGCAGAGATTTGGTGATCTGAAAGAGAGAGAAAGTTATTTGTTAATTCCATATTTATTTGTACATTGGTCATGTAAGATTGTGAAATATTATTACATTTTTTGATTCAAATTTAGTTTTGTTTTTTTCCTCACTGAGCTCAATAGCTGGAAAGACAGTTGATAGCTGAGTGTGATGCTGAGAGTTTCAAGTTTCCTTATTAAAAGCCCATCCAAATAATCAATAGAAACAGACAAATACAAGGCAATATTAAAGGAAAACACAATGCAAAAATCAAAGGGGAGCAAAGGTTGCTGGAACATTAGAAACCTCATAATCTGAAAATTATATTGCAATAGAAAGGAAACAAGGGAAACAGGAATGGGAGAAGAAAAACCCTACAGTAAAAAAACTAAATGAAAAGGGATGGGGAAAATAAAAAGCTAATTTTTTTTAATGTGTGGAGGGAGACAAGACTATCTTCAAGGAAACACAAATTTTCAACATGGAGACACTGCTTTTGGTGAACCTTCTGATACAATTTGCTAGTCTAAATTTGCAGATAGATCTAGAACAAAATACTAATGTTTCTGCCTTTTCCTTTTCAGCTTGATGCTGTTATTCCTGAGATTCACCCTTCATGGGTCCTTGACAAATGGCTGAAAAAACTGCAGTCCCATCCTCCATAATCAGACAAGTAAGGACCACTCAAGTGTTTTAGAGAACTACCTTGTGCAGTGCCTGTGAAACACTCAAAACATTACAGATACATAAAATGCAGTACCTTGACTGAATCTTCCGCACTCTCCCGTAGGACCCTGCAGAAGCCATTCAGGACACTCCTAATTCCTGCATTTTCCAGATGCTCTTAACTGTCATTCGTCTCTTCAGATTTTCACTTTCATGCTAATTAACGTTCCATATTGTATTTTCACACAAATTCCAAGTCCGGCCTTCAGGTTTTGCTTACACAATCACATATGACACAGTAGATGCAGTATGAGTATCTTCATATCCTGAATACAGTCTTGGAAGCTAGTATGGATGGTTTGATGCTGAGTCAGCATGTTCCTGGTGTCCCCAGTGAGCTGAGGAACACAAAGGCAGCCCATTCTGCCTCTGTGGAAGACCACTGGAGAGGGCTTGGGAGAAGGTAACAGGCATTCAGAAAGTGCAGAGTGACTCCTCACTGTGATTTTTTTGCTTACCCTGAAGCAGCATTTGGAGAAGAGCACACCATGATGCTTGGCACTATATAAATGTGACAAAATTTTCAGTAATGATTATATAAGCCTTGTACAGTGGTGATGGAGACCAACATGTATTTTGCAAGAGAATTCATGAAGATGTGCAGCACTCGGCAAAGCACTCAAAATTTTCTAATTACTGAAATGCTAACAGGTTAATGAGCTCACCAGGGAAAAGAAGCCTTCAATGAAACCTGCAACAGATGCCACAACATACAGAGAAAATTACTGCATTTAAATCAGCCCAGCTGAGAAAGTAACTTACGAACAGGTAAGAAAGAACTTTACGAACAGGTACAAATTTCCTAGGAATGACTGATACACAAAATAAGCTAACTGATCCCAGAAAGCCATTCCCTGCAAAAGACAGATGTTAGGGATCATTGCACATGCTCAACTATACCAGTTAATTCAAAGTGATCAACCAACTTCCTTCTGAAATGAAAACAAATGTAAAATTGAAAAAGATAAGTAAAATTTTGTTTAGAGCCACTCTTCTGTGAAGAAACATAGTCTTTACATATAATTTTCACATAGCATTGTATTCATTCAAATATATCTTCACTTGTATTTCTCGAGGTGGCTAAAACTTTGGAATCAACCAAAGCAGGTTGACTCTATTCCAGTAAACCCAGCCAAGCCTATAAAATCAGTGGTCTATCACAGATGATTTTTACATATGCTATGCAAGCATAACCTCACCTGTCATGGTGTCTTTTCTAGAAGTGTGTTCTCCCTTGTTTCCATGGTAAGTGGCGTTGGTTCCAGTTGATTCATAGTCTGTTTTTCTTTCTTTTAGGCTGATCATTTCCCGAGGTGAGGCTGGGGCACTTGCTGGATGACAAAAATGGATTTTCTTTTTTTTTACCATATATGACTGAATGTAGTGTCTAACTCTAGAGCAAACATTTTAGTAAAGTTTATAACTGTTAGCATTCTAACATGGAACTGATTGAAGGAGCACTACCACATTATGGAGGAAAAGAAAAGGTGCTGTTATTTCAAGTGCAAGGCAAATCTATTCATTGGACAATCAACTGCAAACATAATTTTCTCTCTGAATGTTTAATTCTTTTTACTTGCATCTAATGTCTAAGACAATTATTATGGAAAAAAAGCACAACAATATTTTTGTTTTCTCCTTTTGGTTTTCAATTTCTTTAACTTGTCAAAACTTTCTGGTAAAGGCACTTCCATTTTTTTCCTCAAAATGGTTACTTTATTTCTGTTGAAAACACTGTTAACTTTCAACTGTGTGGAAAAACCCTTATAAAATGGTTTATTCGCTTTTCTCTTGAAAATAAATAAACCAATTAAATTATTCTATTTGGTGAAGGAAAGGAAACAAAGGAAAGAAAGGAAAGATGTTTTTTTTATAGAAAACATAGCAAAGAACATCTAACACTTTAAGGTAACTCAATTTCTGTCTTTAAATATCTATATATGAACAACTGCCATTGAAACAACAACTGCTACTTTAACCTATTTTTATTAAAACGAAATCCTTCATCACCTATTCTTATGGTATGGCTAAAAGGAGGAAAGTATATGTGATGAGGAAAAGAACTGGGTTTTATACTCGAGTCTCAAGCACTGGAGAATGTGAAGGTGATCAGTGGCACTAATCATGAAGCCTTAGAGCTTGGGATGCTTAGCAATAGGAAAAACATAAAGGAAAAAAATAATGGTTGTCAAAACTGACTTCAATCTAGGTGTTGGTAGATAAAGTGCACTTTCCCTGTTGTGGAGGGCAGGAGAAGGGGTACAAGGTGAGCAGCAGAGCCCCCCCCAAGCCTTGTGAGGGCAGAGTCACGCAAAAACCCCTAAAATGCTGGTGCTTCCTTTCACATACTCCCCTCTCTCCACCCAGATATTTGCTGTGTCAAAAGAACCTCAAAAGCAGTAACAATGTCTTTGTTTAAAAAGAAGGAAAAGAAAATATTTAAAAGTGTGAGACAAACTCATCTGTGAAGCTTGACCCTGAATTGTATCTTTCATCATCTCTAAACCGTGTTATATTTTTAGTTAAGGAACAGAGAAGCATTTGTACTAAACTAAGGAGTAGGGAAGCACCAGTAATATTGAATTCTGCTTCAGTTGGTTATGCTGGCCCTGGCCTCTAAATTTACAGAGCAAATGTAGGTGATAGTTTTTTACGAAGCCATTAGAACTGAGAATTGCTTTTAAACTGTTTGTCAATAGTGATGTAAATCTAAAGCTCATAATCCAGCAGATACAAAGAAGCATGACATTAAACTACCAAATCAGCCCATGGCAGCTTGAGTCTAATGGGGAACAAACCAGAATGCAACTCTTGAAAAAGCTAACTGAGGGACACATTTTGTTTCATATACCCTGGCAATGATTTTAAACACTCTGGTGTCTTGAACAAAATTGACTGATACAGAAAAAACATCTCTTTCTGTTCCCTGTGGGAATTATCTCTCTCTTCCCATGGGAGGACAACTGCTTTAAGGCAAGCATTAAAATGCAGAAGCAGACTCTTGCAGAGTTTTTACTGGAAGCAAATATAAAATCATTGGTTTATACTGGACTGAAAACTGATATCATGGTTTTCTCTCTTATTCTTAAAGGGCACAGAAAAGAATATAGAGCTCACTACTCAAGTTTAAGCACGTTATCACCAAGTCCTATGCATGGATGGGATGTTGAGAGTTCATTTACTTCAACTCTTTACCCCAAGGTAGGATCCAGTATCACAAAATAATTCTTGACAGATTTTAATCTAAAGCTAAAGATCTCTAATGACAGAGATCACATAACTGCTCCAAGCAGTCTGTTCCAGTGCTTTCTTTCCCCACTGTTAGGAAATGTTCCCTGATGTCTAGTCTGACTCCATGCTGCTCGTTATTTCCATTTGTCTGCTATGGAAGTAGAAAAAAGTTCATGCCGTTTCTCTTCATAGCTGGCTCTTATGTGTTTGAATACTTGGTGTGGACCTCTTCCCACTGTCCCCATCTCATGCCTCTTTTACTTGAGTTAAACAAGTACAGTCCATTCAGTGTATTCTCCTATCCTGATTTCTCCATCTTCCAATTCATATGTGCAACTGACTAAAATCCCTAAATCATTTCTAAAGAACTTTCATCTAGCCAGATATTCTCCTTTATTTGTAAAGGACTAGATCTTTTTTTTTTCCCTTTGAACATTATCTCCAGTTTCTCAGGATCAGACTGAATTTCAATAATGCCTTTCAAGGAACATGAGTTTCTCCCTTCTGAGGTTTATGCGACCCACAAAGCTAACAGGCATCTTTTGCATATTATCTGGGTCATTACTGAAACCACTGAAGAGTACTGGACCCAGGTAAACCTCCAAGCAAAGCATTCTTCTATTTTGGCAGTAAGCAATCCCCTTTCTTTGTGAATGGCTTTCAGTCATGCCATTACCACACATGATATTTTCTGGACTGTTCAGTAGCTTGCCCTAGCTTACCTATAAAAACATTTTGTGAAAGAGTCTTACTGATTACAGTAGATTGTACTTACTGACTATTCTTTCCATAAAGTGCTTTAAGTATGTTTTAGCAGGCATTCAGGTCGATTTAAGAAGAACAAACAGTATTGAATCAATGTTTTTATTTGATATGGATACTACCAGACACGCAGCAACTTACACTACTATTTAAAAATAGATACTCCCAGAGCTAAGTAGTATCTTATGTTCCTACCACCTTTGAGGTGCTCAGGTTGTGATTATTTGTTCCACCAATTTTCTAGAATGACATTGAGCTGACCAGTATATAATGATATCGGCTCTTCTTCCTTCATAACCAGCCACTATTATTTGTCCTTTCCTAGTCTTATAATAACTGATGATGGCAGTAAAATTTCATCCAAAAATTTAGAGTAACAGAAGTGAGGAGACAGTTCTGGCAAGAGACAAAACTAAGATGTCAGGGCCAGACATTTCAAGTACTTTGCACTTACAGTCAAAAAGAGATTTTGGAGAAGAAAAAAATGGAGTAGCAGTCCTTTATGGACTTGTACAATGACAGATTTTGAAAACAGAATAGCAGCTTTCACTGTACTTCTGGCTACATTTTCAAATCTCTGTGGTTGTTCTGCAGGACTAAAAAGCAGCTTCTAGACAATTAGCAAAACAATTTTCTTAAAACCCAAACTACGGCACAGTGCTAATGACAATAATAAGTTTGGCCAATTTTAATTCTAAACTCTTGGTGTACCTTTGGAATGACAGCATTTGATTGAACAAGTAGCGAAAAATCACACTGAAAGACTGACAGTTACACTCTGTTTATGTTAAAAGTTTTTCACTGGGGATGGCTTTATCTAATCAAGGTACATTCTACCTTAGAATAAGATGAGGGGAAGATTACCTGATGTGTAACTAAGTAAATAGTGTAAATTACACTATTTACACTATTGCATAAGTTGAGATTCATTGAGTTGATAATAGCTGGTGTAAATATGCTGTCAATTTTACTCGAAGACCTGTAGCCAAACTTCTGTGAAAACTGACATATGCATATGTATGCACACATACCCAGAATAAAAGCTGACAAAAAGTAATGTGGATCCTTCAACTTCTGCTAAGTGTGCAGAATGACCATAAACAACATAGTGGCTTTCATGACTAGCAAAGTGAGTTACAGAATTTCCTTGTGCTACTAATGGACACCATTGCCCTTAGATGGAATCAGGTAATCCCAAAAACACGTCATGAGAATTCATAACGTGTTTGTTGTGGAATATTATTTCTGCTGTAAAACTTTAAAAGGTGCTAATAATAAAATAAAATAAAATAAAAAAAAAATCCTGTTTTGAACAGATAATTTAGGTAAGAGTAAAGAATATGCTTTGCGCCCTTCCACCACAGTTAAAAATAAATCCAGATGTCAGTGACATGGCTCAAAGAAGAAAAATGATAGTGATGGATTACCTCTGACTTTACTTCAGTCCTGAAAACCTGCTCTTACCTGAGCGGTTGTTAGGAGACATGCGCACGGGAGAGATGGAGGGCGTGCGTGATGAAGAGTACGGTCTTTGCCGATCCCTTTCTATTGTTGAAGATGAGGCTACAAAGTGATACTGTGACCATCCGTCCTGCAACATCAAACATCAGGACAACAGTCAGCGAAAATGCCACACAGTTTCCCATGTCAAGTACAGAGTATTTTCCGCTAGTATTTTCAGCACGGATACACAAGTAGACTACTAACTTCTTCCTGCCACTGGGTGGCAAATATTCTTAGTGGTGCAGGATACGATGTGCTGACTGTACTGACACAGCAGGAGAAAAAATAAAATGTAGAAAGTTCTATAAAATTAACACATTTCAGAAATACTCCAATTCATGACAACTTTTTAGGCTATTTGTTTAATAATTTTGTCTTTTTCCACACCTCTATTTTCACACTGCAAATGGCATTCTGGCTTGAAGTCACTTCCATTTTATAAGGAAGTTTTGGAGTAGAAGATAGGAAAGCCCCAGGATTACCAAACTGGACATCTATTTAGCTTAGTTATACTAACTGCCCATTTCTTCACACAAGGGAAAAAGAATCAATGCAATTTTCCTTGTTGCAGTTTTCTCGAAGGTGTACAGAAAGAAATTCTATTCCTTCTATTTAAAACTGTTGTAATGGTAATGTATTTAAAAAAAGGAAAGAAACAAAGTAATACAAATACTAGAAACAGCTAGTTCAGAAATAAAAAAGGAGAGTTTGAGTAATTCTTGTTTTATTCCTGCACCATAATGTAATGCAATAATCCAAAATAACACATTTTTAAAAACATATTATAGTCTGAAACTATCACAAGAAAATAAACTGACTTTTCCTACTGTTCTTATTAAATGACAACATTTCAAATGCCTTCAGTATTAATAGATTGCAACCGTCTTTATCACTGCTTAATGTTAAATCTAAATCAGTAACACTGAGTTTTCCCAGTCTCACATAGTTTTAAAAATGCCTGCTTTCTGTTGAGTTCAGTGGAAATTGAAGCAAGCACCTGGTATGGTGCTAAACAAAATTTTTGTAATGAAATGCCGAATTAAAAAAAATAAGCACAATACAATATTATTATAATTTATTGTATTATTATTATTATTATTATTATTATTATTATTACAGAATAATCATTCACTGTTGGAGTAGTAAAGAATGTTACCACTCCGTACCTCAGCTACTCCAGACATCCAGCAGTGAATCCCACCCCTTCCCATGCTCTGCCTTTGCTCAAGGCATCTCTCTGACCGTTCTTTTCTGCCCACAGATACCATGGGCACCTAGCTCTCAGAACTGCAAGAGAAAATGTCTTGAAAATTCCCTTTCCAGTAAACTCTTAGGAAAGAGAACTGAGCAAGGGTGTGACACAGCAGGAGGAAAAGAGATACTCATGACTATTATAGAGGGAAATGTTGTAAGCAAATTCTTATAGACAGAGGTGACACCTAACTACAGATTCTGAATGTCCATACTCCTCACGTAATGCATTTGTACTAATGTGTGTATCTCAGTCGCAATTTCAAAGGGAAAAATAAGGAAGATTAAAATCTCGGCTGGGCTTTTACAGTACAGTCAGAACTTTCCCTAGAATCAACAGTGACTGTCCACTGAGAGATCACTCATGTTTAGGACACCTGCTCAACCCAAAATTTCCTATTTCCAATCTTTCCAATCTATATCCAGTCTCTATAGAGAGAGTTTCTATACAAACCATGCCCTCCAAGCTGGAAGGAGGATCCATGAGAATGCAAGAAAAACAACTGTAAAGCCCTAAATTTTTAAATCAATTTGGAAACTATTAGAAACTTTTCCATATATATATATATATATATACACATACACACTATATAATATGTACATGTTTATAAAATACATGCATTTTTAATAGTTTATAGCAATAGACATAATAGTTTATAGCAATAGTTATGATAAGTAGCTTAAGTCCAATAATCTTATCCAAGCATTAAGACTACAAGGATCATACTTAGCATTATTTCTGTATCTCCGGTTCATCATAACTTGTGTGGTGATTTCTCTACTATAAAACTGAAGGAGCAAAAACATGTGAGAAGCCCATGCCTTTATTCTGCTGAAGAAAAATGGTTCCATTCTTTCTCCTTCTCCAGGGCCAGAATTTCTTACCAGAAAGGTGATTCTCTATAATTCACTCTGTTGTAGTTTTCTGATCATTTATTTTCTTTTAAATAGACTGAAGAAGAGGAAGAAGTGGACAGACTTTTGATTTGATAAAAGGAAAAGAAATAGACTACTTATTACTTTCTGCCTGCAAAAGGAGGAGACATCAGCCATGCTTACATAGTGATGCCAAAAAGGCAGAAGTATGACTGCTCAGAGACAGTTTTGGGTCTTTAAGTGGCAAAAGTATTTATTTCGAGCAATGCTGGGGAGCTCTCGCTGGACAAACTAGCTCCAAAGTTTATCAGTGAAAAGTCAGACAATTTATACAATTTTCATGAGTGATTACAACATCTCTACATGCATATTCATTTAATTTCACAATCTAATTATCATATTCATAATAGGCAGGGTTTAGGTGGAGCTTGAGGCAGAGTCATCCTTTTGGGGAAATCTTTGGTGGTCATTCTGGTCCTTCAGCCTCATGAAGGGTCGTCTTTCTACTCTTCTTCGTCATGAACTTTTCAACTTTTCCTGACTAGGTGCTGGGGGCTTGTGAAAATCCCTTGACTCAGCTCTTTTATCTCCCCAGATGTCCATCCTATGACTACTAAGCTGACCTTTCTGTTATCTTTTATTAGAACAGAACACACCAGATGTAGGCAGAGCTCTCAGAGCAAGGTACCACTTTTTCCGTCTCTGCTACCCCTTCACATTAATGTTGCATTCCTCAGTGAGGGTCTGTAGCATCTTCCTCAGAGCAAGCATTTAAAATCCTTGCTCTGTTTCAATAGTGCAAGTCAAAAATGCTTCCAGCTTTGTGGATCTGGATACATCCATGGCGAGGTATACTCTCCTTTCTCATTCTTGCTTCCCCCAAGTAAAACCCTGGTACGTGGTTCAAAAAAAGTGATGTGAAACTTCCCCTAAACATTTCTTCCTGTTGTCTATTCCATATGTATTTTTACATTAATATCTGCAGCCTGGTTCTGATGGGAAGTGGATGAAATAAATCCCTGATACCTGCACTGTCCCATGGACTCTACAGGAATAGCATATGGCACCCTTGTTCTGCAGAATATCAAAAGTACTTTGTCAACATTGCTTCCTCAGAAACAGCATTGCTGGTGCCTCAGCAGCAAGGGAGCTATATTTGAGATGCTAGCACGAGCACTCTTTTGTGCAGTGGATGTTTTTCCTTCTTTTCTTCCCTGCAAATTTTCATTTTTCTCTCTGCTGACAGTAGTGCTTATAATGAGGTCTTCAAATAAATTCTACTACAAAATCCCAAATTGGCAAGCCAAACCAGCTCAATAAAACCAGTGAGGCAAACAATAAACTCTAACACAGGGGCTGTGGTGACTTGGCATTGCTTTTGACTAAACAAGGCATACTACTATCAGTGTATAATGATCTTCATGGTATTTTTCAACAGGTTGTGGGCAGCTCACAGTATTTCAAAACCTGAATACTTTTAAGTCATCTATCTTTAGCTCACTTCTGTTGCAAGGAACAAGCTTCTTTCCTTGTAAAGGTAAACAGTTTGTAACGGATTTATTAAAACTATCCCCATCAACAATTCCAAAAGCTATTAGTGTTAAATATTGAAACTAATTTTTAAGAGCCTAAAGGGGGTATTTTCAATTTAATGGCGATATAAATACCACCTGACACAATGGCTGCTTTCATTAGTTTGTTTCAGGTCTACTGCCTGTAATGAAATGTAATTAAATTGATTTGGGTACTTAAAGGTACAGTATATAGCAATGTCTTGTAGAGAAGAAGGCTAACTCAATAGCAAAGTACACAAGACTTATTTAAGAAACCAATTTACCAGCAAAATGTGATCTAGGAGAGGAAGAGTAAGACAAAAGGATCTGACAAACTGGAAAGAAATTCAATGCAATTCTGTCACAGTCTGGGTGCATTTGTTAATCAGCAGTAATTATTAACAGGTGGCAACTGCACACTACAGGAGGACAGAGAATGACCAGAGTACAGAAATACCATTATACATCCTTATCACCTCTTCCAAGGATCTTCTACTGGGCATTTGTCTATATTTTGACTATAATGAATATATCTATTATCCCTCAATTATACTTGATAAAGTCCAAATGTTAAAGCTTGATTAGCAGTGACATGTTTCTGATGGTATCTTCTTGGGAAAGCTGCATGGATTAAATTTGGGATAGGAGCTGAATGATCAATGTAGGAAACAAAAGTGATATTGTAGTCTTACTGATTATCTTTTACTGGGCCTAAGGAATGAACAGGTTCTTTGTGCTCTTGCTCAAGTTTAAGTAATTTTGAAAATAAATAATTTGCATCAGGACAATGGGAAAATAATTATTTTGTCAGGGTGACTAAACTTATTGTGCCAAACACCTATTGCATGTGTCTTATGAAAATATAATTTGTTTTTATTTTCTTTTCTTGGTATGCTTTTTGATTTTAAAATGTAGTGGGGAAAAAAAGCGCCAACCAGTTTTCTGTTGTGTTTGCAAAAATTTCAAATTTTCAGAGCTCTCTGGTAGCTGAGTTTTTGATTTGAGGAGCTGATTTGTGGAGGTGGATGGTATCAGACATACCATTTTCTCACTTGTAGTACAGTAACATTTTGAGGGCTGAATTAAATTAAACCCTGATGGGAACTGACATCAAGTTGACCCAAGAGGGAAATATTGCTCCTGCCTGAAGAATTCTCAGATGATAGAGGAGCGAGGTGGCCAAGGAATTGGTGGAGACAGGGATGGTGTGGTGCCTAGCCTGGATGGCCTCATGGCATCCACCCAAAGAGAAATGCCACATCATAGGCACACAGCAAAAACGAAAACAAGCCCTACACTCTGACTGATTATGCTGATCAGCTGCTTAGAAGACACTGACTTGAAAAGCACAGAGTGGTCTAGAAAAGCTGTATGATGGATGATATCTGCATGCACATCAGTATCTTCC